ATTGCCTGCTATAAATGCACTAGAAGATGGCTAAACATAGGATAAAACAGAGGATAAAAAATGGCCTCAAGAAGTTTAGGTTAAAAGGTTTTTGACCATCAAAGGAAGGTAATACTTGAATCAGTTTGTCAGTGAGACTAGTCAAGGCAAAAAAAAAACCAAAACAAAAATGTTTAAGAAACTTGAAATTAATACATGGGATTATATATTGTGGTTCCCTAAAAGTGTAAACGAATGGGTTCAAGATTTCTTCTAGTCCTCTACCCTAGGTCCTATACAGGTCCTATCCTAGGGAATGAAAACCAAGGATTGTTTTTGAAAGAAACAAATTCCTATTCTGAAAAACAAGCAGAAGTACCATTTTGGAAGAAAAACTGTTGAAGATGCCTAATTTTTCTTTCAGATTTAATCTTTTTTTGTAAGGAGACTTAAGATGGAATAAGATCCTCAGATTTAATTAATTGAATTGAGTCTGTTAATTGAAATTAATTGAACTGAGGCTTTTTGTAATGTTTCACATGCTCATTGAGAAGATTATACGCAGCACAAGGTGGACTGTGAAACTGCTGGAAAATGTGGAATACTTCCTGTTTGCACCAATAATTTTAGAAGCTACTCTGACTGTGAGAGAGAATTATGGATTTCAGTGTGAAAAGATGACCCTTTCTTAGAATTACTAGACGTGGCAAAAACTCCTCCTCTCTGGTTACATCTTCACTTGCATCAGAAATGAGACTCATCTCCATCACCAAGAAGACACGCTGATTATTTACTAATGGTGCTGTGTCTAGCCAGGATATTTGCTTCTGGAGAAGACCTGAAACAAGCAAATGTAGGATGTCCCCAAAACACACATACCTGCCTCCACAGCAAGAAAAGCAGCAGAGAGATGGATATTAACTCTTTGGGGGGGCACATAGTATTTTGTAAAATTATTTCCATAGTGCTATTTACAGGCCACTTTCATGACAGCCACAAGTGGTCTGACAAGTCAGCTTGCCATAAACATCCCTCACATCACTCCAAAAAGCCCAACTGGTTAATCCCTAATGCCCAGGTAATCCATAGGAGTTCATCACCAACTCATTTCCCATGTCTCCAACGGTGTTTTCATTCACCTACAGGTAAATCATTAAATTTAAATACCTGGTAACAACATCTCCTACCTCTATTCCTCTTGGAAAAAGTCTCCTTCTCTTCCTTTCTTTGGCGATCCTGAGCATTTACTGGTTTCTAAAGTAGAAAACAGACCTTTGGAGCAACTGCCTAGTACTTCCACAGGTGTAAATACATTCTTCCCTATATTGATATATAGCTGAAACTATTCTAAAATGGCAAGGCTGGAAAGTGAAGCTCCCCTGAACAGGCTAATGCGGACAGGGAGTTCGAAAATCCATGCTTAACACAGAAATACGAAATTAAGCCTTAGCAGAAAACCACATTTAAAAGGAGAGAATAAAAGCGAGCCCAAATGTCAGGCCAAACAGGCCAATTTTGAAAAGATTTTGAAGAAACTGAGTCACACGAGCTTTCCATTTTTCATCGCATTCCTAGGGACAGAGACAGGTTTCCCCAGGAGGTCCAGTTCCTTTGCACAACTGCAAGGAAAAATTTTAGCATCTTTCTATACTTTTACACACGGTCATCATATTTTACAACAACGTAAAAAGAGACAGCCCAGAAGAATTGCCCTGGTTTCGGCTAGGATAGAGTTAATATCCTTCCTAGTAGCTGGTACAGTGCTTTGTTTTGGATTTAGGATGAGAACAAAGTTGATAACACACCGATGTTTTAGTTGTTGCTAGGTAGCGCTTACACTAGTCAAGGACTTTCCAGCTTCCCATGCTCTACCAGCTGAGAAGGCTGGAGGTGCACAAGAAGCTGGGAGGGGGCACAGCCAAACTGGACAAAGAAACATTCCATACCATGCGACGTCATGCTCAGTACATAAACTGGGGGAAGCTGGCCGGGGGGGCCACTGCTCGGGGACTGGCTGGGCATCAGTCGGCGGGTGGTGAGCAATTGTACTGTGCATCACTTGCTTTGTGTATTATTATTATTGTTATTATTATTTTATTTCAATTATTAAACTGTTTTTATCTCAACCCACGAGTTTTTCTCACTTCTACTCTTCCAATTCTCTCCCCCATCCCACCGGGGGGTGGGGGGGAGGAGTGAGCGAGCAGCTGTGTGGTACTCAGTGGCGACTGAGGTTAAACCACAACAAGAATTTACAGTCCAGGATCAGTAAAAGCATCTTTTTACCTCCCTTGAAACAATTAGGAAGGCACAGGTTGCTCTAGAAATTAACGAGGAAGATTATGATCTGTCTCCTGGGAAGTACCAATTCAAAACTCATTTCCAGTTGTGCATGTTTCACATGCAGAATTAGGATCCTTGTCAAGTGCAATGATCCATCTTTTCAAGAAACTCCTACCAAAATAAATTACTGAAATCAAGAAGCTGGATGTAATCATTCCCCCCTTTCCCCTGCTTCCCCTTCTCTTTCATGGCCTTGTGCAGACAACCTGCACCAAGATGCCAAGGATATGAAGCTCTGAACTGCATCTTAAGCACATGATGTATAGAGAACCATTTGCTGTTTATTGACAATTTTGAATGCTTAACTGTGTTGCTGCATAAATCACTTTTCTTACCAGAATTACATGATACACTTTTCCCAAAACTGACATTTTTGCAGTGCTACAATCTTTGCAGAAGTTGACAGACTCTGGGGGAAGACAACTACTTCAGCTTTCCACAAGGTGGCATGGTTCCCTTTGCTGAAAGACAGCATTACTCAGTGCCATTGAGGACATTTAATTTTTTTATTTATTTTTTTTTCAAATGTACTGGCCACTGTCATGAATAGGTTTAAATAGGCTTAAGATCTCTAAAATCTCTCTAACAAGGTTCATTTTAACAAATTCTTCCAAAAGAGAGTTTAATGAGTTAAAAAAAGCTTCCTTCTCTTATGCTGAAATGAAGAAAAATTATCTGTGCTTGCTGCCACACAAAAGCAAGCTTCAATCAAATATAGTTAAGGCACATCATGTGGCAGAGAAGAGCCTAAGGGGCTAAAAAATCGGATTTTTCAAGTCTCAGGTCATCAGTTTCAAATCCTATCAGAATTCTTTCAGTCTCGCAGTATTTTGGGTAAAACGGGCTAGCAAGGAATCCACCTACCACACCCACTTCCCATCCATGTGAGAATTAAAGATCCCAGAGCATTTTCCACAGGTGAAGATTTTCCCTGCTGTTTCCAGACCACTTCCCATCCCTGTGGGGTACAGCCATTCTGCAGCTCCTTGTCCTGTCCTCGGGACAGAGGCAGATGCACTGAACAGCTCTGCCCACAGCCTCTCCCGCTGCAAAGCAACATCAGCGCTGCTGAGCTTCACTCGCAGGACCACAGATGCGGTCACTACTGCCCCTGCACAACATCCCCATCAGGCAGTGCCAGACGGCAGGTAAGGTCCTTTGATTCAAGTGATTTAAAAAACAAACAAACAAACAAACAAAAAACCCAAAACCAACCCAAACATGTATAGTTTCTCCTCTGTTTCTTGTCTTGCTCCTCTCAGTCACTTCTGTGAATGTTTCAGCGCTCAGTTTTGACTACCCATTTGAGTGTCAACAGCATGGTTTTGCCTAAACAGGAGAAACAAAACCAGCTCTGACAGACAAAAGAGGACAAGCTTTTAGCATTGACCCATTTTCCTGACACCGGATGGGTATCAGTTCATAAATTTTGACGTTTACACAGCAAGCCAGAGAGGGAAGGGAGATGATGACATGAGTTATTCGCCTACACAAATACTGCTACAGTTCTCCATTGCAGGAAGGGCTCCTAATTATACCCAGTGCAAATCATCTGGGAAAGAGGCAGACATATCAAAATACTGCCTCCCTATAATGCTTTCCATACCGTACGGCTTATCTTGAAAGGAACAGCTTTCTGGTTCTGAGGACTGGTACCTAATGCTCATCACTCCTCTCCATTTACTGTGCTCAGAATTTAGTGCTTGTCATTGTAACAAGCACAGCTGAAACCCTTGCCTTTTAGCTGCCAGCCTGCCAAGCAAAACACATTTATTCACATCTGATTTAAACATCACAAGACAAATAATCAAGATGACAAAGAAGTTTAAGTACCCCGATCAGTCTGTTTTCTCTCCTAAAATATATCATTAATGTTATTATAATTATTAACTCTGTTACATATTGTCTTCCTGCGTGTAAGTAGCTTCTGATCCCGTCAGTCACTACAGGTGTATGGCACAGCCAAAACACTCATTTAAATTACTTGGATTTCCAATTAGAGATATTCACATACATCCTTAAAAATGGATGCAAGCACAAGGCAAAACCATCAACAAGACAAATCTGGAGATATGTATACAAGCATACAACAGTAACAGCTCTGATTTAATTATGGTGCTTGTTCACATAATGGTCTCATTTTTCTCTATAAATTTTATCCTCAAACTAAGTTGCATTCTCTGTTCTAAAATACAAAGTTCCTTGTCCTAAAAAGTAACTTCCTTGTTACTAGCTGCGAGTTCAAGCAGACACATAAGTAAGGAAGAATACTTAAAAAAGGGACAAACTCGAGAATAAAGAGCAAATTCTGTCACAGAATGCCCCAGGAAGCTATCCAGCCACGACAAACAACAGAGCCCCCTCTCACCCAGGACAGAAAACTCACTTAGCTGTGCAAGGGGTCAGTTATTACAGTTGAACAGTAGAATTTTGATCTGTAACATTCAATTTCTTGGTTTACGTGATTTTAAAGTAAGTCACACTTTCCTGACCAAATTGAACGAAGCTTTAAATCTGCAAATTCCTTTGATGGAATTAGTCTTGCATGGTCAATCTACATTGTGCCAAGAGGAGGAGTACAGTTAATTTCAAAACCTAGGAGACATTCTGCACCTTGCAAGTTATGCTTACAATTGCAAATTTTTAATTATTATGTCATTGTGGATCTTCTTACAGACCTTGGCTTCTGGATCACTGTTGATGCTACAAGAATCATCATCATCAGATTGTGGACCATTTCTGTTACACACACACAAAAAAAAGAAGACAAAAATCAATCTTAAAATCATATAAAAATTACAGCACAGCACAAAATGGAGCTGGTCATTCCACGGAGACTTCCAAAGTCATTTTACCTGAGCTTCAAAGAGGCATAGCGTAACGTTGCTCCTTCAAACTCTTTCAGACTTGGGTCTGGGTTCACAGTGGCTGCATGCAGATCCTAGAGATAAAGGCAGTGCTATTAGTACAGTATTAAGTGCTATGAATATAGTATTAAGTACACCATCATGTTATTTCTTATTTCAAAGGGAAATTAAATCCTCCCTGCAAAGAAGCGATAGTATTTCTGGCTGAAGTTGAAAAGAGGCATGCATATATTCTCAAGCTGCATTTCATTCAGTGCAGGCATCTTATTCGTTACATCATGGCAGTTGCCCTGCTAGTTTAGACTGAATCCATCCCAAGTGGAAAGATCAGAAAAGGCAGCATGTTTGTGAGCTAGACATCCCTAGCAGTACCCCCATTCACTTTGGCCTAGGTTATGAATGACATTCATGGAAAAATAAAAGGGAAAAAAACCAGCCACTGCCATGCAAAAAACAAGTGTAATAGTATTAAAGGTTCTAAAATCTGACAATATACTTGCCTTCCAAATGTCACTATTAATCTTTCCCCCATTCAGTACAGCAAAATCACTCCATGGCTGTTTCTAGACACATAATTATTCACACAGGAAGAAGCACATTGATAAAAAAAAAAAAAAGAAAAAAAACACAAGACACTGTTGTTAGCATTGATATTTACAGGATGGGTTAGGGAACAGATCACCTCAAACTTCAACTAATTACTCCACTATACCGTGGCATTTGGAGGAAAGGGGAGAGAAGACATGCCTCTAACAGTTACTTACCAAAACAAATGATTGAAACAAGGAAAGTTAATATAAATTAGGAACAGACAATGAAATTACTCTTTAACTATGATTTTAAAAGCAAGCAAAATGAATCTGAATATGAATGTTGGCCACAGCTGCTACAGCCTTTGATAAACAGCAATTAAGGGGAAATATTAGGATTTCCATTTGATTAGCACTTTTGTTAAAAGACCCTAACACTATTGGAACTAGAAATACTGAAACACAATGATACATACAAGGATAAGATACATACAGGGTAAAAATCAAATATTTCTAGAGAGAAAGCACAAGAAAAGGACAGCAAAGGGAAGGAGCATTAGTAAGGAGTGCAGAGAGATTTCTTACTGAAAAAGTAGTTTTGTAAAGTCTAGCAGCTTTTTTAAAAAACCAACAAAACCAAAAAAACCCCAAACAAACCACCCACCCTCTCATTTTCCATTCAAGTTTCTCAAAATTTTCAGAGGTGTTCACTGGTACGATCAAGCAAGTAGCAGTGCATTTACCACTATAGCAGCCTGAGGTTCATCCTTCTCTGTAATGCCTGGGAGGAACAGCTGATGTTGGAGTTTCCCCTCTCCTCTTCCCCACAAGGACAGAAATCCCACAGTCCTGAACCAGAGCCAGATGGGACAGGAGATCTGGTTGCCAGGACACCCAGAGCCACCTCTTTGTAGTTTCACCAAATCAAGTATTCCTGTAATTATTAGTGGCCCGTTTTAAGATGAGCTCTCCCAGGTTGTCCAGCTCAGCCCCAAGAGGAAGTGGTACCTATTAATATGGCCCAATGCATTGATTTGCAGGGGGGACCTCTCACCCCAGAAGTGTTCTCAGTACATCCCCACTGGAGGAATTATTTGTGAGAAACAACTCCCAGGAGTAACTATTCCCTGACATGCCTTTGAATTAATTGAGTTGTTAGCTTTTCCTACTAAGCCCCTCCTCTGTAATTATTAGCTGCTAGTGGTTATGTTACCTACAGAAGAACTTCTAGAGGCGATCCAGGCCTGGAATGAGTCAGGCTATAAGACGACACAAGTACCGTCACCAAATTCTGCCATAATCTCAAAGAAGCTCATATTGAAAATTAAACCCTACACCTTTTTCTCTGCACAGGAAATGGGAAAGAGGGAGCAAAATCTCTAAAATTTGGAAAAGAACATTACAAAAGATGACTTCCTTCACAAAGGAAGTAATTTGGAAACACACAGGAGAAAAGAGCCATCTAAAACTAAGTCAAATTTAATCAGCTGTGCAAAACCAAAATACATTTTCATGCTTTTGAGGGGGAGGAAGGGAAGGAATGTTCCAGGTTATTCGTATTTAGCATTTATTAGCATTTTTGTTAAATCTGCAGGATTTTTGCATAATGCTTAACCCATAATTGCTTTGGATTGAAATTTACCAATTATCTTGTGAAAGAAAAATTGCCTTCAGCCTGTGCAGAAGACATTTTTGCATTTTTTCCTTTTTAAAACTGTTTCTGCCATTTGTATGCATTACAGCATCATTCCTCCCTACCCATTTTTTTCTGATTCTCTGTTCAACAATAGTAAGTAACTGCTTTTCTTGATGCTAAATATCCAGAGTAACTACAACACAAAAATGGCTGACTTGATCTGTTCTTTGTTGACTGCTCTCAGCTGTGAGCCACATTCTACCAAATGAAGCAAAACTTCTGTATATTATGTCATTTAAGAGACAGAGACACAAAATAATTAAAAAGAAAAAAAAAGGAGGAAACAAGACAAAGGGTAAAAAGGCATTACTCCGGAGGGGGTGGGGGTGGGGAAGGTGTTTCTAAATGTTTATTTGACAAACTCAAAAGCTGAAAGAGCCCAAATAAACTCATCTCAAGACTAGCACATGATGCTTCACAGACAAATGTGATAAAAGTCTTTTTTATGGACTCACAGAAGCCTATTGGGACAGATATGAAAGGCTACCCATGCTAGTCTTCAATCCTAGATTATATATCTTTCATCTGCCTAAAACCTATACATCCCCCAATCTTTTCAGAAGAAAGCAATACAAATTCCAGCACGTGGGAATGAGCTAAACCAGCCCTCCCAAACCAGATTATCTCGGAGCACAGGCTTCCAAACAGCAATGAGAAAACCAGCAGTACACAGCTCACACGTGGTCCAACTTGGAGCTGGAAGCTGTCCACCACAACTGCTGCTGCCAATGGTAGCGCTGGGATAAAGGCGTTTGGGAGCCCCTATTCTAGATCGAATTCCACATCTTTTGTGAAGTGTCAGATTGACCGTATCACAGACATCCAGGTTAATCTTTCACGGGGAGAGAGAAGGGGAGCACTTGGCATAGGCTGCAGTGCAGTGAACAGGGACTGAAACCAGTATCACCTGCAAGTGACCTGGAGATGATTAGGTGCTGGCAAGTATTGATTGTGAAGAGATGAAAAACCAAAGATTCACAATAGCTGACACTGTTAAATCTAGATTACAAATTATTTCATTACCTACCCCTATCTCTTAACCCCACACCATGGCTTATTTCCCTCTTACTGCTCTGTAGCAGGGTTCTGCTCAGAACCAGCTGAATCCCAAAGGATTCTTCCTCCAGTTCCCTCTTAATAAAGCTCAATATCTGCGGTTTCAAGAAATGCAAGACTTTTCCTAACAGTTCTCATTATAACTCCAGCTACGCCCCTTCTTTGTAGCAGTTTCAGAATTTGACAGTGCACAAAGTCCCGAGTCCAGTTCACACTCTTGTTTTGAACTCCATTACTGTAAGTCTGCTGGTATTGTATTGCAATGCTATCTTAATAACCACTGAGTCAAAAAATCAGTACTGTTTAGAGAATGATATCTAAGATGCTTATCAATGAATGCAGAAACCTTCAAGAGACAAATGCCTTCATCTATACCTACAATTAAAGTAACCATATAATATACTAACACAAATTTTGGAAACCTGCTTATTTTCTGTATCATCTTTTACACTACAGTATATGGTCTTGATGCTGCCACAGAACTGTATATGCATAAATTTTTGCTGGACCAAATTCCTTGCTGAATTAGAACTGCCATATCAAAACCTAGATAAGCCTACTATGTACTCACATGCATGGCATTTTAGAGACTCCTCAAATGTTTTATTTAATACATCTACACTGTATTAAAATCTATGTTGTTATAATTCATACATTTTGTATTCTCCATGAAGCTGCTGAGAATTAATGATCATTATTATAATCACAAACTATTCTTCATTTAAAGCAAACAAAATTGTGAAAGGTTAAAGGTACATCTGCCACATTACCAGCAGGTCTGAAATTTTCATTGTAAAGACATTTTAAAGAGAGACAGAAAAATATTTGAAATGAATATACGCATCTTCTCTCTGCAATTTACCAACCATACTGATTTCTGGGTTTTTGTGAAAGACTTCTATAACTTACTAATTAAAGTACTGTTCTCCGTATTTTAGAGTAAGAAAAATACTTAATGGTGAAGTTATATTCCTGTAATGTACATGTGAGTGATTTATACTGGAAGCAAGTGCAGCACTTTACACTCAGCATTTCTGGATATTTTTTTCTTGTTTTCTAGCTGAATGATAACAATTGCTGTTCTTTCTCCATGAACCCTCTCAGAAATAATTTCCAGCGTGCTTGGTGCACAGTCCATTCCGCGGGAGCTTGACTGATGTAAACCATAACTGAAATGTTGTGGTCAAGTTTGCAAACCTTATGAATAGCATTTATGAACATGTGGGAGCAATCTTTCTAAAATAATGAACAAGAATGTACATTTTTAAGCCTATACAGGATAAAAGTTTCAGGGTCAAGATGGTAATACCTACTTGAATGTTCTTAATTCCTCTTAACTTTCATTCAAGTTATTTTGGGGCAGATATCAACAAAATCAAGAACAGAAGAAATATTGTATCTAAATACATTTTTTAAAAAATAAATAAAGCCTAAGGATTGCCTGATCCAAAACTTAAAGCTAGTAGTAAGACTTCCCTTTACTTCATAATACTGTGGACCTTCTTCTGAAAAGTCAGTATGAAAAAGAATTCATTTCAAAACAATTTGATTTTATATTAGTATTTCATTCCATAGAAGTCTTCCCAGCATACCAAAACAAAGTGATTGCATTTTTTGAAGCATACTCTTCTTTCTGATAATTTGTTTTATTTTTCTACTTACATGACATCAATCAACCCCCTGGACTGTGCCTGAAAAGATTATTTTAAAAGGCAGCATCACATATTGCTCCTTCAGCACATGTGGAAGAGAGAGTACATTTTTTTCTAGTTAAAGATAGTTAAAGTTAAAGACTGACTGCAACACAGTGATCCACTTGTACAGATATTTTCTACTGGCAGGATGTTGAGAGACTTACACTTGAGAATACTTGATGTTTATTTGATAGAAACTACCCTGTAAAGGAACTAGCGTCTCAAATGAAGACTCATATGTCTTTGTCTGATATTCCTACCAAAAAGAAAGAAGATGCAAAGAGTCCAGCCAAAAGACTGCTATAATACGCAAGAATTTTACGTATCCTGTATCCACATAATGCAGCAACGCTTCAGTGCATACTACAGAACTGTAGTAGTTTCACATTAATCAGGCACTGTCTGTCTTACTTATTTGAGATGTGTCTGATTTCATCCTACACATCCAAAGTTTACGATGTTTCATGAGGCACAGCCATTAGAAAATGCACATAGAAAATAGATACTTACGATGTATTATCAACAAATAGCTACACTTTGGGATATTATCAGGCCCCATATTCTAAAGCGCAGTTTAGCTAACAGTTAAACCTGCAAGTTCAGAAACTTCTTTCTATTTTCTTTACAGTGTGCAGCCCACAAGAAGACACAGTATGTTACCTCAGTTTCTGGAGTAGGAGATGGAGTAATGGAACCAAGCGATCCTTTCCGTGAGCCCTGGAGATCTGTTGGGATGGACACGGGACGTTGCCATTGAGTTGTTCCTGTTGGTATGTGCCAGTAGTAGATCCCAGCGATGTCATTTATTTTTTTCCAGCCGGGTGGTAAGTCTGGGTCTGTCTGAAATGAATGATCACTCCATATATCTGCTGGGAATAGGGGGGAGGGAGGGGAAGGAAAATTAATCAATGTTACTAAGACACGAACAGTTCTTCTATGGGTCTGCCCCTGATGCAAGTGATGCACAGCTGGTACTACTGTTGTACAGTTCCTGTGTAAACGAACACCAGAAAAACATACTGAATTACTGAGGCTCAAAGTAAGGTGAAAAAGCCTCATTTGACTTGGCCTATAAAGAAAGGAAAAAAATACGCTACTTACCAAAGAGCTGTTCTAATATGGCAGCTATCTAATACCATCCAATAAACTAGCTCTTCTAATAAGGTTTAGTTTCAAGCACATTAAATCACAGCATATAAAGAAAAATTTGGAGTTGTGGTGTACTCTATCCTCTTCATCACAGCACCCTCCCTTCTCAATGCATGGTAGCAGAGCATGTATTCCTGCTAACCAAAGTCAGCTTACCAAAACAGAAACACACACCCCCCAAACAACCCGCATTGGGTTTACTTACAACATCTAAAAGACTGCTTGTTCAAAACAATGAGAACAGAAGAACTGAGCAAGCATTTTACACACACACCAATTGTCACAAACAAACATACTGTTTTCAATTGATTTTATAATAGAGTGGGGGGAAAAAAAATAAAATCACTCATCCACAGTGCCAACGCAGAGGTGAAATACCGGCTCTACTGACAAACCTCCTACTAACTGAAGAATGCACCAGTAATTCGTATCGTAATTAGAGACATTCCCAGATATACCTGGGATCATAGATGCATATAAGAAATGTCACTGGTGGAGGGCATCCAGTGCTTTTTAGAAAGGCAGCGGCATCACCTTATGTGCAAACCAGCTGTACCCCAGCAGGGGCAGTCACCTTCTGCTGGATACATGTTTTCCAGAGGCTGGGAAGGGACCCAGTGCTCTTCAAAACTTCCCAGCTAAACTGCTTTGGTGGTGTCATTATGGTACGTGCTGTTAACCAGCTGCTATGGTCTACTCCAAGGACTGTCAAGCTGCAGAGAGAAACAAATAACCTCCTGCACTGATGTTTCCACCAGCACTTGAGCAGACATGACGAAGGCTGACATCAGCACAGTGAACTGAGCTAGCGAGAAAAAAAAACCCAAGAATTAAAGGAAGCACCATACCAATGAGCTGTGGCTCATCTACTCTAGCCACTTGTTTCCAACCTTCAAAGACAGTCCTCAAAACACCTTCAGTGGACGACAGATGAATAACCTCTTGTTATATTGCAGCTCTTAATCTCTTTTTTGAATTAAAAGTTTCTTCTCAGTCTATCCTCAAGCTTCTTACTAGGTGTTTTATCACAGTTGCTTATTTCTGAATCTCTCTCATTTCTGCTACCCACATTTATGCGTGCGCGTGCACACACACACAAATGGCATGATAACTTGAAATAAGTCTTACACTCCATGGCACAAACCAGACTATTTCTTCTCCAGAGCCACTTAGAGTTCTTAAGTTACTGATTTACCACTTGAGGACTAATCTGAGCAAGTTCTGCAGAAGAAAAACTAGACAATATCATTATACTTAAATTCAATAATGAGCCCCACCCATGGCCCAATATCTGAAATTGGCAACATTCATATAATCAGTTCCAGAAATTCCCAAATATTCTAAACACCCGCCTCTAAATGTCCCCTGTTGTAGCCTCTACTGCATTCAAATACGTAGTTCCTGACTCCAAGGTCTTACATGTTTTAAAGCCCATTCATCTTCAACCTTGCCCGTTTTTATTTTCCAACTGAACACCACAGCTACACTCTTCTCAACCATTTAAAAGGAAAATAAAAGCAAAACACTTTCAATAATTTGACCACATCATGCAAAAAGTGACATACAAACATCAAATATCTAAACATCACACTGAAGTATGCGTGGCAACATCTGCAAGTCCAGATACACATGGGTAAGTTTAAATAACTGGTTCATAAAACTTTAAAATATCACAATAATGTCAGTGTTCATAAAACTTACGTATTGGGCCTTTCAATGCATGCCAGAATAGGAAAATAATAAACTTTCATTATACAGAGAGACAAAGCTTCATCTCAGTTCAGGTTCATACAGTTCACAGTATTAAACAACCCCACTTCAACATTGCCAGGACATGAAATGTATTTTCTTCACTTTAAGATAGGCACTACTTCTGTCCTTGCTATACATACATATGTATGTGTACACATGTGCTTAAATATACAGTTAGCAAAGTGTTATGCTATGGCTGCATTAAATTACTCCTTTCAAACCAATCAACCAAAGATGCAAAGGAACCAGAGATGCAGAGGAACCAACATACTGTCATTTATTGTTGCAAGGACACACAGTACCAGAAAGACCTAAACAGAAATTACTTTGAAGTAAAAACAGACAAAACTGACAGTAGAAAGAAAACTGTTAGCCCAGAGAATTAAAACAACATTATTTCTGCAACATTTAATTAGAAGAGAAGAAATGATCTTGTATGTGAACGAATACTTGGAAGGAAATAATGTAAAACAGCTGGGAGCACTCTGGGATAAGAAAATATCACCTAGCCAAGTAGTACTAATTTACTTTGAAAATTTATCCATTAGCAAAAAATACACCAAAATATGTTTGCATATGGTCTGAGATAAAATAGGAATTAAACTTCAGATTTTGTTTCAACTAATATAGCTCAGGACTCTCAAAGAGCTGTATTTTCCACACAAAATGACTATGATTGACACCTGTGCGTGAGATGCACATTGCTGGTGTCTGCGTACTCCTTGCGCAGAGGTACTGACCTCAGACCATCTGAATAGGACAGAGCCAGATCTCACGTGTTCAGACTGAAATACCGTTCCCCATGTTAGCTATGCAAACCTAGTTGAAAAAATGAAACGTGTGTCCCCCAACCTATTTGTGAACACACCTCAGGATCAACAGACTATCAGGGATAACCTTTTCACAGGCTGTGATATCCTACTGGCATGAACTGGGAAACCTCCCCAATTCACTGACTGCTCTAACAGATGAAAGCACCCAGTGTGCAAGTCAAAGGTACCGAACCATCACAAGAGATGCAGCACAAGAGAGAGAAAAGTAGGAGTCAACATACAAAATCTGACAGGACAGATGAATGTGCTCATGGCATCAGAGACCTACTACAGGACACCAATGGCTTTTCTTTATTTGAATATGGAATTACTGGTAGTAAATAATTCTCCTCTGAATTTGAAAGAAACTGTTCAATGGCATGACACTGAGTCAAAGTGTCCACTTGTGGTTGCATGGGCCACTGTAAGAATGGTCCCTTATCAGAGAAATGTTTGGAGCCCAGAACAAAACAAAGGCACCACACAGGTATATATATCCTGTTACATTCAACGGCCTTTTCAATCTCAATCTTATTGTAAAAAGCGACAGCCACAAGACCGGGGAGAAAAGAAGCAGCTATCTGTACATCAATCCAATTCTGTTGACACAGCATCAAACAACTTGCATGAAACAAACCCAAGAGGAAATAGAACTGAACACAATGGACTTCTTGAACTGAAATCAAGAACTCCTCTTATGTCTGCAAGATTTTGGAGGTAAAAACATTGCATGGAAATGGTCCCTTTTGGTCTGTGGATGACTAAGCCCTACATGCTTCCTCAGTGGCAGAGGATTTACACTGGTCAGGAACTTTTCTCCAAATCCCTCCCAGTCATCCCCAGGAGGTGAAGTTCTACCTAGCATCTCCTAGCCTTTTCCGTGCTCTTCTTCACTTTTTTGTTGGTGAAAGGTCAATGAACCAGGACCACGTGGTTGCTCATAAAACTTCTGGTTTTGAAAGTATTGTTGCTCTGATAATATGGAAAGCATGGCTTACTACAGAAATTTAGAGCATGATTCACAAAAAGAATGTATCCTTTTGTATTGGGTTTGGTTTACCTATCATGTGTATTACAGTAAACCATGATCTCCTGAAAGGCTATACTATAAGACATTTCTTATATAAAATGCATAAAGCAACAGGAGTAAGAAAAACAATACTGAACTAGAATAAAAGAAAGCCACTGTAGCTAAGCTGTGTGAGAAAGCAGACACTGGGTTTCTTTAAGAAACTTGGATTCATATTATCTGTATAACTTGCCTTTCTACAGCAAGAAAGAGTCAAATTCTTAACAGTGGTGTCGTGGTTTAACCTCAGTCGGCAACTGAGCACCACACAGCTGCTCGCTCACTCCCCACCCACCCGGTGGGATGGGGGAGAGAACTGGAAGAGCACAAGTGAGAAAAACTCGTGGGTTGAGATAAAAAGTTTAAGAATTGAAATAAAACGATAATAATAATAATATGATAATAATAATAATAATACACAAAGCAAGTGATGCACAGTGCAATTGCTCACCACCCGCCGACCGATGCCCAGCCAGTCCCCAAGCAGCAGCCCCCCCGGCCAGCTTACCCCAGTTTATGTACTGAGCATGTGCTTTGGTCAGTTTGCCTGTGCCCCCTCCCAGCTTCTTGTGCACCTCCAGCCCTCCAGCATGGGAAACTGAAAAGTCCTGGGCTAGTGTAAGCACTACCTAGCAACAACTAAAACATCGGTGTGTTATCAACTTTGTTCTCATCCTAAATCCAAAACACAGCACTGTACCAGCTACTAGGAAGGAAATTAACTCTATCCCTGCTGAAACCAGGACAAGTGGAAAAACTATTTTAAGATGTAACCGATTCAAAACTCTGCACAGGAATGAGGTACATCTTTACCTAGGCGTCGTGCAGATTCACACAGCACTGCAGACCTTTGAAAGCCGACTCTTTTTCTTGAAAAGGCCTTACTGAACAGGGTGGCTCCACTGCCTACATATACTCTGGAGATGAAGTCTGAAGTCAGTCCTCATCGCAGACGACTGGGCAGTCAGCTTGCAGCTGATCTTTCACCTCACCTTCTATCCCTGTCAGAACATGGGGTGCACGAGAGCTGTCACTAGCGAGGCAGGCCGACTGTCATCCTAGATCTGCCCACACTGCATGGACACGT